GTTCGGTTTCTCATAACGGGTTTGCATCTTTTAAGAACACTTTATTTAAGTACACGAGTCGTCCTTTACAAAGGATCTTCCTCGACTGAAAACTTTATCCAAATTGAAATACTCAAATCTCGCCAAAAAAATCTTCAGAAGGATCAAAAGAAAATACATATATATGTACCATATTATTATATTATTATTATATTAATTATTATTATATATTAATTATAAATAATTCAACATAATAATATAAATTAGCATTGGCATATTTCCTCGGTCATAACTAAAATGTTTTGATTTTGTGCCGTTCTGCAATTAAGTATCTGGTAAGATCAGCCTAGTCAGTAAATAAAACGACTCATCGTGACATAGTCGAGCAATTCGTTCAATCTGGCCTGTGCTTCATTGACTACAGCAAGCCTCTGACCTAATTCTTGTGACCATGAACGTGTAAGTATGTTATTACACGAACGTCAATGTCGCTGTAGAGGCATATGGCGATAACGGTAATTTTTTAATTGCGTGCATTTTGTATTCTCATCGTGCGGCTAAAAAAGGTGATATATACATATTAACTCTCCTAACAGCTTTAACAGCTTTTCCAACTTATTCTATAAATACGTGATAATATGGATTTTTGTTAAAAAGCAATTAAACTTATAATTAAAATGGAACTAAATATTTTTCGAAAATAAACAAGATTATTGTGTTAAATTATTTATAATAGCTATAATTATTATTATACAATTTAATAATACATATTTCTCTTTTACTTTGATCTTTTAATGTAATAAGTGTTAAAGATATGCATTTACATGTATTTACAATAAGTGACAAATGTTTTCAAAAATATCAGATTTTATACCAGATTAAATATTCAAAAATAGCGATACTCATATGAATTAGAAAAATTGATTATTTTTCTAAGGTACGAAATTATGATTTGTGATTATCAATAATAGCAAGTGTAACAAATAAAATTTAAGAAATTGAAAATTGTACAATTCCATGAGAACTATGAATTCTAATAATAATTTATACGTATAAGTGTTTAAATTCCATATAATAATAAAACGAAAATTATCTTAATAAATCAAATATCAACCGATTTTTGCTCTCATTTTATATGAAAAAATTCTAATCTACGCAATCACAATATAATGTAAATACTTGATAAATCCTTCTCTGCAAATCTCACTAATCATAATACTATCATATCTAGATGATTTTACATCATGCAATTTTTGTAATTAATCATGTATCCTATATAATTATTTTGATAATTTAACAGAATTATTTTCAGATCTGTATCTACAACTAAATTTTTATAGAGAGAGAGAGATACTTCAGCAAAACCGTTCTTTTCATTTTCTAAGAGACCGAAAAAGTCGGTTTCATATTTGTATAACCAATTTTGATTAGCTTTCTAATGATGACAGATTTTGTGCGATAAAACATAAATTTGCTCTGCACCTTTAGCATGCATTTAAATTTCGTGACAGCGCACCTTTATGATGCGATCAAGGCGAATGATCTTCACACAATTTTTAAGGGGACCCTCCATACCCTTCATATTTTAAGGGCCTGTTCAGAGAGTTCAGGATCGTACGGTATACCGAGCAGGCATCTATATATTTTCGTGACACACCCTTTCTCTATGCTTCTTTTTTTACTGTTCACCTTGGTACAAAGGCTATGACACACTCCTCTCTCTCTCTCTCTCTCTCTCTCTCTCTCTCTCTCTCTCTCTCTCTCTCTCACACCTCTTGGAATCCGATACAAGATAACCGTTGCTCCCAATCGCGTTGTTGAGTTGAATTATTTATACAATGTTTCGACGAGATAAAAGCCTCACAGATTACATAGGATTAGACCGTTAATATTTTAAAAATTTTCATGACATTCTTGTCAGCATTCCCAAAATTCTAGATTTTAGTATAATAATAATCACAAACATATAGCTTTCTCCAAAAGTTTTCCTAATTGTAACATTATATAATAAGTCAAATTAATCAGTGTTTAAAAATTAAAAAAAAATAAATATGTAATACAATTTGCAATTAACAGTTTGAAGAAAATTATTTCAAAAATTTATTGTGCTTTTTTTCCATTTTTGGATATTGTCTGTTGATTTAATTTATTACAGCATATTTACAGATTACGAATTAGTCTTACAAATTTCACAATCTATATTGATAAGATAGACAGTTATTCGATGATATGTATGTACAGAGAATTATCAATATATGAATTTAGAATTCGAATATTCGAATATGCTCTTCTATATCAAATCTATATTTTATTATCTTGATTGATATTAATATTAAAACAATTCTGTAATAACGAGAAAATTATTGTAGAAGATAATTATTATATTTCATAATAAAATGTTCCTGTCAAAGAAATAAAATCTATTTTATTAAAGATGTATCTTAAATTAATGATTTACTTCGTCTCAGAAGTGAACAGTACCATAAAATGTTTTCAGCGATGATGAAATATTTAATTACATAAAGTTAGGCGGTGCCTTCAACACAATCACCGTTATCATCACTTCGCACTATGCAGGAAAAAGCAAGCGGTCCAAAGTGTCACACGTTTTGCGTGTATACTAAAAGTCCTTGCTTGTCACTCTTTTCATGTTAATGAAATTATCGTGCGCTTACTTAATATCTAAATATAGGAGCGATTGCGTTTCACATTGTGGCTGCAGTATTGCGGGTAACTCTTTAAAAGAAAGCATTCCGATAATTGAGGAATGTGCAACTATGCGGGACGCATACAAAAGTAAATGACTATGTAGACATTAACAAAATTGCATATATAGCGGTTTTCTTTTTTGTGAAATTGAAGTTTTAAAATTACATTAAATAAAACTTTTCATTTTCAATCATTTTAAAAATCAACATATATCTGAGCTAAAAAATATTTAGCTTTATACCATATATAAGAGATTTATATTTTATAAACAATATAAAGCACTAAAAAAATTAAACTTAACAGGAAATTTTATATAGAATATGATTATATATGTAAGATTTAAGTTTGCTTCATGTAATAGATACTCCATTTATCCTTCTTTCCAAGAAGTTATCGGTGAAACTATTGAAATCGTTAAATGACTTAACATGTACGTATAAGGAAGTTTCGAGCAAACAAGTCGAATGCCAATTAATTCCCTGGCAGTCTGAGGTGAAAGTAAACGAACATGAGGATACCCTGCATGAGATTCGTGTCACGGCATTGTCTACGACATTCGCCGACTTCGTGATCTGTATAGCGTTCGATGCACCATAAAAGCATATAAAAAAACGTAAAGTAGTAAGACGTAAGCAGTAAGCAAATCGGCCAATCGCAATAAAGCCTATAACGCAATAATGTAAGCAATGACCGATCCAAAATGATTTGCTTACTGCTTACGTCTTACTGTTTACGTTTTTTTACGTGCCACAGCCTTAATAGAATTTATTAATAATTATATCATTATTTATTTATTCTAATTATATCGTT